AAAATTATTAAACGAGAGTTGTCTACACCAAAATAAGTCTCAAATATTTGTCCGCACACTTATTCTCTCAATTTAACAACTTGTAATTGTGGGAATTAATCAAACGAGAGCTGTCTACATCAAAATAAGTCTCAAATATTTGTCCGCACACTTATTCTCTCAATTTAACAACTTGTAATGGTGTAAAATAATTAAACGAGAGCTGTCTACACCAAAATAAGTCTAAAATATTTGTCCGCACACTTACTCTCAATTTAACAACTTGTAATTGTGGGAATTAATCAAACGAGAGCTGTCTACACCAAAATAAGTCTCAAATATTTGTCCGCACACTTATTCTCTCAATTTAACAACTTGTAATGGTGTAAAATAATTAAACGAGAGCTGTCTACACCAAAACAAGTCTAAAATATTTGTCCGCACACTTATTCTCTCAATTCAACAACTTGTAATTTGTGGAAGTAAATTGAATGCGACTTTTCTACACCAAAATAAGTCTCAAATATTTGTCCGCACATTTATTCTCTCAATTTAACAACTTGTAATTGTGGGAATTAATCAAACGAGAGCTGCCTACACCAAAATAAGTCTCAAATATTTGTCCACACATTTATTCTCTCAATTTAACAACTTGTAATGGTGTAAGATTATTAAACGAGAGTTGTCTACACCAAAATAAGTCTCAAATATTTGTCCGCACATTTATTCTCTCAATTTAACAACTTGTAATTGTGGGAATTAATCAAACGAGAGCTGTCTACACCAAAATAAGTCTCAAATATTTGTCCGCACATTTATTCTCTCAATTTAACAACTTGTAATGGTGTAAGTAATTAAACGAGAGCTGTCTACACCAAAATAAGTCTAAAATATTTGTCCGCACATTTATTCTTCTCAATTTAACAACTTGTAATGGTGTAAAATAATTAAACGAGAGTTGTTTACACCAAAATTAATCTCAAATATTTGTCCACACATTTATTGTCACAATTTAACCACTTGTTAATAGTGGAAATTACTTAAATGCGACTTGTTTAATCAGTTGACATCAATGCAACTTACCCGCAGACAGTGCGAAACAGAGTATCATTATTGAGCAATTATAAACAGGAACGTGTCTTGGCATTAGGGTGGGTCGGGTCAGGTATGGGCAACGGAATTATTAACAGGAACGTGTCTTGGCATTAGGGTTAGAGTCGGGTCAGGTATGGGCAACGCAAATGGCAAACACCCAATTGGCAAGATGTACAGGGTCATGGCATGCATATAGTTTACACAAGTAAAAACACAAAATTGGCAATTTTTTGGACAATTGTAACTCAATAATAGAAATATTGAGAAATATCAAATGCAAACACATCCAGTCAATCAATTGTGGTCTTGTGGTTCAGTTGTCTACACAGTGATCAGGGGGACCCGGGTTCAATTTCCATGGCTGCCAGTCCTTTTTCGCAAACACTAATTTGCATAAAAAGGTAAATTAGAGAACAAATCATTCATTTGCATGACTACCCATATGGTTCAGTGGATATGTACAATGTAGGCAATGTGAAAGATCGCTGGTTCGAATCCAGTACGGTTAATATGATTTTTAAATGCTAGTGAAAACATTGATCCTATAAGTAGGACTTAAATCCTATCATATGTGTGAAGACACTCGTGGTACAGTGGACAAGACAGTGCGCTGGGAACTCAAAGATTGCAAGTTCGAATCACGGACAGGACACTCCTACAAGACAAGATATGAAAGGAAAAAAACACATAAACAGCAACTTCAAGAACTCAAGTCTGAAAAACAGAACACAAGAAACTACCTCACATGGAAGCCAGTCGAAGTCGTCGAAGTACGAACACAGTTGACAGCTGCAGGTCACGTGCAACAACAGACACGAGAATCAATGCTGCTCTCCAAATGGGTCCCTTCTTTTGTATTGACCCCCTAAGGATTGCTCAATCCCCCTTTCTAACTCTTCCCCCAAAAATAATATATCGCCCTTTTTAGAATGTATTGATCCACAAATTAATGAATATTCATGAGCACAGAAACTGCTACGTCATGAATAAAGT